AACTACTTCATCAAGACACTTATTACAGGAAAAATCTCAACAATATAATCCGAAGGAAAAGGGAGCGTTCGTGGTTTTAATTTCATATGCACACTTACCTCAATACTTAATAAGGTGTAAAAGCAAGTTTCTTAGATTTTCGATGCCTTAGCTACATTTATATCGCCATAATAGTTTGCAATATACATCTTTATCCTTCCGTCTGTCATTATTATTTTGTTTTGACCCCAAAATACAATAAACCATGCATTATATTTTCATAAATACACATTGCAGGACCATTCAAAGGTCTCAAAATTGTGCAAAGACCATCACTTCACTTTATAAATATTTAAAAATCATTTCTTCAAAACTTTGTATACAGATGTACAAGATTAAATATTAAGAAAGATTTCTTCATGTACATGATGCATAGATAAATATTTTTGGTTGAGATTAAATGATATCAAAATTCGATAACCTTAAATTTTCCTTGCAATCCTGACCGTCACGGTAGCTAAGTCGGTAGAGTGCTCGCTCTGTGATTGGAAGGTCGTGAGTTCGAATCTCGGCCGCGACTGACCTAATTCGATAACAAAAAATAGGTACAATGAAGCAACTGTTCATTCGCTATGAGCTTGGCACTTTGAAATGAAAGTTGCGGGTCCTTCGGATGAGACCTGAAAAACCGAATTCCCGTGTCACGACAGGCGTTGGCACGATAGAGATCCCTCACTGCTCAATGGCCCTCAGTGCCGACTAAAAGTCTAAATTTGAAACCCTTCACTGGTATATGGTGACGTCTCTATATGAGTGATAAATTCAAAATTCTCGAACGGGGCGTAAAACAACATACAATCAATCAATCCTTATGATACATCTCCGCAAGCCTAGGGTTTTCAGTCCACTCCACTCTTAGCATCTTTGCAAGTCCATGTTAATGGTCCACTCTGCTCTTGGCATCTTCGCAAATCAAGGGGAGTTGACCGAATACCCCTGGCTTGCAAGATGCTTATGACCTTGATGGATTTTTTTCTTGTTTTCAAATTATTTTGATGAAAAGATGTGTGAATTTCCTATTATTTTTTTTATCTTGCATTATCTCTGCATTTTCCTCCTCATTTTTTTTGTTATCAAATGTTGACCTTTGACTAAACGCTCACTATATTTCATACCTTTAAACTAAGAGAACATGTTTGGTAGCTTTTTTATGTCAAATTTTGATGAAAATAATATTTGGATGAAAGATATTACAAAAATCCAAAAGATTAAGATAATGAACAGTAATCAATGTTATATATCATGTAAACAAAATAAATCGTGAACAGGGCGAAAACACGGACTCATGGAAACATCAGAGATGGAATAAGGTGTAGGCATTTCCTGTCGACCAGTCACACCCGCCGTGAGCCCTATGTATTAATCAGGTAGACGGAGAACTCCATTGTCAAATTTAGTATAAAAGCAATAACCTAAAATTTTTATGAAACATGTCAGACAAAATACGACCCAACGATATGTTGTGTTTACAAACAAGGGGATTATAACGACCGTAGAATTTGCCAAAATGACTTTAAACGAAGTTGTTGAAGTCCCTTTTATATCAACTTATTTGTCAATGGCTTACCTTGGTTTAAAAATTGATCGTATTCAGAGCATGCTCTTGCGTATCAGTTGCGAGACAAAACACCATATGCAGATGATGATGGAATTTTGCTACATAAATATGGAAAGTTGACGATGGAAAAGCTGAAGTCGTTCCGTTTGTCATATACAGTTTAATTATTAGTTTGCCATTAGCGTCTATAGTCAGTAAAACATCCAAATATGAAACAGATATGGCATATCTTTTAGTGTCTTTTATTTCGAGTTCACTGGGATATATGGATGAAAGTAACTATTGCTAATTGATGAAACGTCGTCGATAAATCTAAATGTTGAGTTGAAGGCCACATCAAGCGTTTTCTTCATCACATGAAAAAGTTTTTGAATAAATTCTTCTTCATGGAAATATGAAAACAGATCGGCTAATGAACTACAATTTTAATATTGTCAATGAGGAACTCCAGCATCATTTCAATACCACCTTCAGAGTACTTGTATGTATAATAAGAATGATTTTTTAAAAAAGTAATTTTGTAGATGACCAATCACAAGATATGGAAATGTAGGAGTTCCATTTTTATTGAAGCAGCTGTCTATGATGTCAAAAAGCCTGCTCTCTATTTTATTGTTAGGAATGTTTGTATAAAGCATTCAGAAGTCAAATGTGTTGATGGTATTGATGTTTGGAAACTTTTTAGTTGAAATTTTCCTAAAGTTCTTTGGAGTTGTTTTTAGAATCCATGTTTGATTTACATCACTTCTTGAGTATGTTGTAGAAGAATACGTCTGAATTTTTTTCTTCACAAAAATTAATATTTTGGTGAGGAGTAAGGATAGGGGCTTCGTTGAACATTTACTGAAAATTACAATACCTCTTCATTTATAAAGATTTTTATGAAGTTTTTGAATACAGTATAGGTAAGGAAATAAATGGATATTAAATAAAATCCACAATCAACAAGCTGGTTTTCTCAATCTCAGCCATTCTTTACATTTATTTGTCTTATTTTACTTTTTCAAATGAACCCTATTCTTGTCGCGTAGTCCGTTAAAATTAAAATTACCCCAAAACAGATACAACTTAAACATAGGAAGAATTATTACGTAGAATGAATACATTTTTTCTTTTTGATTTGCCTGCGTACATCATGATCTCGCCATATGTAAGAAAATGCTTGTGAAATACAAATGATTTGGAGTTCCAACGATTCCATTTATTTTACAATAATTCATGCAATTTTTATTTGATTCAAGATTGTAAATACTAAAATAATTCTAACTTTTTTTGGCTTTCAGTGTGAATTTGAAATTAAATTTTCCGTTTTAAAGTGTAAAAAAAAAAAATATTTGTTCAGAAATATCTTACCTTATCACTCCCTTTAGATAATTTGCAATTTCAATGTATTGGTCTTCATTATATTATTACATGTATTTTGAATTTAATTTATTTTTTTAATGTTGATGATGACGTGTTTCATATTTTTATGTTACATCATATTTTCTTTTCGACTGTCTAGTTTTATTTCCTTTTGTTGTTGTTATTTTGTTTTTGTGTGTGAATTTGTGCAAATAGTGTTTTAGAAAATTAATAAATGAATGTGCCAATTTGGAATCTTTTTTCCAATGTAGTTATAATAATCAACTAGTTTCAATATTACTTATCTTTCTAAGTAGTTTTTAACAAATATGCTGATATTATTTGTATATATATTTTATGATAGAAGCATTCATTTTATCATTTTGTCTCCAAATCATTAAATTGTATTAAATGTATTTTGCATACCAGGAGCTTATATCTGAGAAAATATTATTTATGCATTGGAATAAATCAGCAAAAACTTAAAATAATGTAAAATTATTGGAATCAAATGTTATAATTAAGTTGCTTAGTTTATCATCAGAAAGTGTTTTCACATTAAATTGCATTATTCGCTGAAACATTTACTAAGAATATTTGCGGTTTCCTCAAAACTCAGAAAGTGGATACGTGGGTTGGACAAAATAATTAATATTAGATGTATCTCGAAATCCCGCAAATTTGTTTAATTTACATTAGTTAATTATAATTTTGTTTTAACAGTAAATCATAATAGATAGTACATTTTATGTTCATTCATTAACACGCCCAATTCATGCATGAATAGCTAACTATACATTTCCTTTAGATTTAACGTGCGAACCATACGTGAGTAATGGAGTTTTCGAGATAAAATCAATGAAAAGTCTTCTCTACATAATATGTTTCAATACTATTTTACGCAACAAAAATATTTTTTTACATTTCATCTGCCCCTTTCCTTTACATATTTAGATGTGCTGCATTCTCTCTAAGTTGATTTTTAAACCATGTAATTGTCTGATCCGATCACATTTGATTCCCTACAAGACGTCCATAAAATATAAAACTTTTGCACTGAAATTACTCCAGGGATCTTTTTTTTTACCAAAAAAAAAAATAAATAAATAAATTTAAAAAATGCAACTTCCTATAATGATAAGTTGTGCATTAAAGACGTTTTTTTCCTTTGTTTTCATTTCCTTTGATATGTAAACATTTCTACGTTATAATTAATAATAAAGATGAACTAGTCAAATTATCGATAATTGTTACGTTTGAAAAAAAAATACTTTTGCAATTTTATTTTTAGGTGATATTAAATATCAAGAATGTGAATTTCCTTGACATGAATGTTGTTTCTCAATATTCTGTATACTATGTTTCATTAACATACTTAATTCTCGAGGAACATTAATAATGTGTATATTTTGATGTCAAGTGCAATATTTTTTGACATTTAGGCAATGTCTTTATCATACATGACTAAAAATTAAGTTGTAATCTGCAATGTACACAGAAACTGAAGATAGGATACTGGTCTGCTCTGAATAACTTTCTTTCCTCCTGTTATAAAGCTTTACTGTATAATAAATAATTGTAAATTAGTTGCAAAAATGCATTAAAAAATGCATGGAAAGAATCCCAAACAAACGAGCGTATAAACACACAAAAGAAAAAAAATCAAAAGATTTTCAATATAACTTTCGAAAAATTGATCTGACCACTATCAAAAGTGTATTGCACCACTATAATTTAAAATGCTTCTGTCGTCACTCCCAATTATGTGGTGCTAACACCCCCTAACCCTAAAAAAAACTATCATAGACAACGATTCACAATAACGTAAAAATATTACATCCGTTGATGAACCAGAACAATCGACACTGGCATAGATACACAGAAACACTTTATTTTCACATAATTTAACAGCCATTAAATATTAATTATCTTCACTGCCAATGGCTGTATTATTTTAGTCATATCTTTTAATTGATGACTGCACTAACCATAGAAAAATTCAAGAAATTGTCTAAGATTCAAAGTTCTCCGACAAAAAAACTTAATAAAATCTAAAAGATATGATCCCATTCTTTATTTTTAAGTCTCTAATTACAAAGACATTAAGAAAATTAACCAGAATATTGCAAAAGAAAATGTCTATGTAAACCATAGCTTGAAATCCAAAAAAAATTAAACTAGCTTCTTTTTTCTATCAGTTTTACACATTGTTCATATTTCTTCTCAAAGCATATTCCTCTGCCATCAACCGACCAGTAAGCCAACTTTTGCTGCTCTTCCTGCCCATCTTGCTGCAGTTCTTGTTTTCCTTGACCGTATAATTCTTCTTCCTACTCGTTTTGCCTTTCTAAAAATTCTACGCAGTCTAAGTGCTTCTGATTCCTGAACATGGTCAATCAAAAGTAAGACCACCAAAATCAAAACAAGGGCACGTTTATTCTGAAAAATAAATCAATATCACAACTCAATATGCGTGATTCGTCAGAATTGTTACAAAAAAATGCAACAAAAGAAGAGATTCAACATGACCGTGAACCGACAGAATCGTTACAAAAAATACATCAAAAGAAGAGATTATCTAACAATTAGTTACATTCTGATGAAATGTGAAGATAACGAACAGTGATCACTTTCAAAAGTCCATTTCAACAATTCAAATTATTATGAGCAGAGCTAACATGGACCTCTGAAAACAGTTGCGAGATTTAAGGATACATACCACAAACAAATTTTCTTATCTTCCACACAGAAAAGTTACACTGGTATTTTTCTAATATTTCTTTCAATGGAAATATAATTAATAAATTTTAATTGTGTAAAATGTAAAAATACACTCTTGAAAATGTCCCCAGAAACTTTGAAGCAAGAATTCAAAACTGGATATATTTTATAATTTTTTCAAAAAACATATTGAACTGTAAAGTTGCATTTTCCCACTTTTTGCCAAATCATGTGCCGTGGTCAAACATTAAGTTGTTTAACTAAACAAATATCACTTCCAAAGTGAAAAAGACACCCAATTTAGCAAAGATATTTGAATTTTGGAGAAAAAAGGTTTGTTTTTGTTATTTATCCTTAAAATGAATCTAACTTACCATGACTCTGTTGACTATAGGTGTATTCCTAAGATTGAATAAAATCATCGAGGTCAATTTGTTTAAATACCCTTGTGAACACTACTTATTGTTTTATTAATACATAATTATAATATTTTTACGTAAATCAGGGAGTTTAATTAGTCAGACACAAGGTGCCAACTTGCTCTGTATCCTGAACATGTCAGTTTTTGAAACAACTAAATCAAGACACTTATTACAGGAAAAATCTCAACAATATAATCCGAAGGAAAAGGGAGTGTTCTCGGTTTTAATATCTTGAACACACCTCAAAACTTAATAAAGTGTTAAATAAAGCATGTTTTTAGATTGCAATATCCAATTCATCCTTCCGTCTGTCCATTATAATTACTTTGTTTTGAGCCCAATATAAAAAACTGTTCCAGGCATTTTCATAAATATAAGTATCGTTGGTTGAGATTAAATGATGTTAAAATTCGATAACCTTAAGTTTTCCTTGTGACCCATCTCCGCAAGCCAAGGGTTTTCTGTCCACTGCGCTCTTAGCATCTTTGCAAGCCCAGACTAATGGTTCACTCAGCAAACCAAGGGGAGCGGAGTTGACCGAAAACCCCCGGTTTGCAAAGATGCCTGTGACCTTGATGGAAATTGTTCTCTTGTTTTCAAATTATTTTGGTGAAAAGCTGTGTGAATTTCCTTTTTTTTTCTTGCATTGTCTCTGCATTTTATTCCTCAATTTTTAGTGATCAAATTTGTTGACTTTTGCTTATTTTTACTAGTGTGTAACAAACTTTCAATGAAATCAAATTTAAGCATTTATATTACATCGTTTGCCCAAATTCAGTTAATTGGTACCACAGACAATGAAAAAAAACGCTCACTTTATTTCATAACTTAAAATGAAGAGAACATTTTGGGTAGTTTTTTTTTATGTCAGCTTTTGATGAAAATAATAAGTGGATGAAAGATATTTTTAAATAATGATCGCCAACTGAGAAATACGGTCCTGGATACAAAATAACAAGAACCACTTTTAAAAAAATTTGGTATGTTTAGACGACAGAAATACATATTTTTCTTACAAAACAATACATTTAAAAAAAAAAGAATTTTGTAGTTTAAACATAGAATGTATCAGAGGTCGTAGGGTTTTATGGTAATAGAATTTCGTAATGTTATTCACCGTACTTTTGGTGACAATGAGATACTATAAATTTTCATTTGATATTAGCCTTCATCTTGAAACTGCTTTATTAATACGGTATTTTTCATATTTGAATTCTGCGATATTAATTGATGAAATATATTGGCTAAGATTACATATGTCTTACAAAAATACACTTTTCTATTCACACCGTCAGTTTGTGACACGAATTTTCTTTATGGTTCTTGACTTTTCTGTTTCAAAATACCGTATAATGAAACATTTCAAAGCGAAATTTTATTGCAGGTTAATAAACCTTTATTCTTTGAAATGAAACACTCTTTTTGTATATCAAGCACTCTAAAAATATTGTTTTCTTTTTGTTTGTGACAAGAAAATTTAAAATTGGCGGAACTTAACTGAATTTGAACGTATACAAAGTTTTTTTTTTTTTTGGGGGGGGGGGGGGGGGGCAGGGGTCGAGTTCTTATCTGCATTACTATATATTATATAAGCAAATCATCTTATTGTATATGTAAGAAATCATTCTCAACAAAGTATGTATCTTATACAGAATAAAAATGATTTTAAATATTGTTTAAAAATTAATTTAAGTTGTTTTTGAAATGTTATATTATACGTGCTTAATTATGAGGAAAACTAGCTATATTTGACATCATTAAAATGTATCACCAACTTTATAAAAAAAAAAAGAAAAAAAAAGGTCATCCTCTTATTTCGGAATGCGGATATGTTTGCGTAGATTAGACAACAATATCTGTCCTATGTACTTCCCACACATCTGTTTAATTTACATGAGTCCACTCAAAAAAAAAAAAAAAAGAAAGAAAGAAAGAAAATAAAATAAAATATATATATATATATATATATATATATATATATATATATATATATATATATATATATATATATATATATATATATATATATATATATATATATATATATAAACGATGATTCATTACAGATAACATTTTATCAACATTCATAAACACGCCCCTTCCATGCCTGAATAAACAGGCATATCATGCAGACCGTGAACACGAATAAAAGAAAGCCAGTAAGTCCCTTAATTATTATCCTTTATTGTTCGATGTTTTCTTCCTTTCAAAAAGAAAAATTCAAAGTCCTTTAAATGAAGTAGTTTTTTTTTATCTTTTCTTTTTTTTAAATAAAAAATCTCAAAAATATACAAATATATCGATATATCTTAAAATTCACAGATGATTTCTTGTATGACTTTATCTTTAAACATTCACGTACTTCAATGAGCTTTAAGGCATAATCAATTTTCTTGCAATATCTATTTCAACACTTTTGTTTTTGTAAACAATGTATTGATCATTATTCTAGTGAATGCGGAAATATATACGAGTAGGAAATTGGACACATGAGCTATATAACATTTTTGTTAATTTTTTCATGACCTTTCACCTCTTTAATCAAACGTATTTTCTGTACATGTAATTTCAAGTAACAATGTACATGTAGTATGAATACATTGTGTATTTTAATTTTTCAGAATTTGGCTTCCTAACTCAATGAAGAAAAATGAGAAATAATAGTTGTTTTTTTTTCTTAATAATTGCCTCTAAATTGATGTTGACCAAGTGGAAAAAAATGATTAGAAACCTTCTTTCCAAAAAAGAAAATAAAAATTGTCTGTTGAATGTGTCTACTCGAAAATACCTTTTCTAAGGTAATTGATAAATCAATTTTGATCATTTTTTTTAATTGGTGAACGTTTCATTTCAATCACTTTTTTGCATTTAGCAAGTTAATATAATTCAATTTACTTCTCAGCAATTCATTTCTAAAAGAAAAAAAAAAAGACACAATCCTTGTTAACATAACACAAACTGATGCAATGTTACATATATTTGACTTGAAAAAGGACTTTAAGAGTTGGCTGAGTATTAAAAATAAATGGAAAAGGCGAGGGGAAAAAATTAATATAAAATTTTTGGGACAAAACTCTGTGGCTATGCTCATTAAAAAATGATTCAAAACGATATGAGTTGATGAAATCTGTAGGATTCAAGTTATATCTGCCGTGATGATAGCTTTGAACCACTTTATCGGATTTTTTTCTTCTTTTTCCACATCCTTATTTTATCTTCATTGTTCACCGTTCAAAACATTCAGGCGAAAAAGTGAAGAAAATTTATCATCATTATCATCATCATACAAAAAAGATTTAATTAATAGCACATTGTGATTGCCAAACTATGTTTTAATGTAATTTCTATTTTTGATGTGCCACTTTTTTGCTGTATGTTTAATGTATTTTATATTTTTGCATATACTGTTCGTCTTTAAATTTAGGGGATCAGCATATTGATATGTGATATTGCATGGTGTGAAATGCTTTTGGATCTAATGCCTTATCATGTTAATTATATATTTGTCCTTATTTTCGTCATTATTAATAAATAACATATTTCAACTCTACATTGGTGTTGACTTAGTTGTCTTAGACTTAAATCAACAAAAAGAAAGCTGTGGTGAAACTGTGAAGCATGAGGAAACATTAAAAGATTTAATTATAAACTGTCTTTTCAGTAATCGGAAAACAATAGTAATAAGGAATAAAATATTTTTTAACTAAGGATGTTTAAACATAATTAAGCTTATGTAACTTAATTTTTAAAAAAAAAATCATAAATTATTAATGAACTACTACTTATAAAATTGCGTGGTCGTATTTCAACTTCAGGATGTGGATTTCATCTTTGACATCTGCGTGGTCTTCAGTATCGTGCACGTCTTAAATTGTTAAAAAAAAAAATTAACATGTAAATCTGGTCGGAAATCTTACTCATGATTTGATGCACAAATCCTGTTACCATTTTTTTTCCTCTTTGTTATTAGTCCCCTACCGATGAAACCGGAGGGGACTATAGGTTTTCTCCGCGTCTGTCCGTCCGTCTGTCCTCTCTCTGTCTGTCAGTCTGTCCAACTTGGTTTTCCCCACTTTTTTCTAAACGGTTGCAGATATTGAGCTGATTTTTGGTATGTGAGTGTATCCTGATGAGTTCCAGTTCAAGTTCGCATTTCGTTCCGCTTCAATGACTTTTACAGAATAACGACCATTTTAAATTTTAGAAGTTTTCTGCAATTATTTCTAAACACTTACAAACATTGAGCTGATATTTGGTATGTGACTTTACCTTGATAAGTTTTAGATCAAGTTTGCATTTCGTTCCGCTTCAATGAATTTTTACGGAATAATGACATTTTCAATTTTTAATAGGAACCAGATTACACTTGCCCGTAGGGGACTAGTATTGCCAAGGTTATACTCTCAGAATGCTTAATCAAAATCTTAGCTGAAGGATTGAACGAATGAAAAAACAAGTGTACACTTTGTAATTTCATATCTACCTTATCTACAGTAAAATGGAATAAATTGAAAAGGACGATGGATTATTAAGAGGTTCTGAAAATCGAAATAAGCTCGTAAAATATTTACAACGAGAATATTTCATGTTTACGAATACCTGCATGAAGATCCTAAGAAGCCAAGTACTAGTAGTTTGTAACTGATTTTGAAAATAGAAAAACATTTTCATTTGACTATCTCAGAGTTGCCTTTTTTTCTCTCCTAGTGCAATACCCTACGATATTGTATTCGATTTATCATTAAGTCCTCTAATAAACATATATTTTTAAATGACCCAGGGTGGAGCTAAGTTCAGAAGTTGATTTAAAAAAAAGTCTTTCGTACCCCTTGAGATTCATAAAACAATTTGCAAGATGGGTGCACATGTGATGAGATGAAAAAGGTGAAGATAACGATCAGTGATTGGTAATTGATCCATATTTATTTATTTATTTATTTATTTATTTATTTATATACAATAGATCGAGGTTGCATAATGCCACGTTGCAATAAGGATTCTG